CATGACTGAAAAGGCCCTGTCTGCATCCCTCACTGGATGAGACTCTAAAGCAGAGGTGAGGAAGGGCAAGCAGAGGTGTTGAAGTTACCCACCAACAGGCCCTCCATGGACAGTCCCGATTTACAGAAGCCATCCCAGTTTCTAATTTGATTCCAGAATTTCCCACTTTCCTTTAGGATGCCCCTGTTTTCTGCGGAGAAGCATTGTGCTGATAAAGCCAAGGTGGCAGATTCGATCCCCTTATGGGACAGCTGCTAATTCCTGCATTGCAGGAGGTTGGACTAAATGATCCTCAGGATCCCTTCCAACTCCACAATTCTATGATCCCCAAGCCAAGGAGATAAGTAACCATACAACCTTTAGAAGACATCTGAAGGCAGCCCCGTGTAGGGAAGTTTTTAAAGGTCTAATGTTTTGCTATGTTTTTATATATGTTGGCTGGAGCAACCCAGTCAGATGGGTGGGGTATAAATAAATCAAAATATCATGAATATTGTTATGGAAAAGGATGTCCCTATATAATATAAAATATAAAAAACATTAAAAACATAATAAAAATAAATAAAATTGTCCAGTAGTACCTTAGAGACCAACTAAGTGTGTTCTTGGTATAAGCTTTCATGTGCATGCACGCTTCTTCAGATACACTGAAACAGATGTCACCAGACACTTACATATAGTGGGAAGGTGGGGTGGGGTTTTTCTAAGGAGGGTAGTAGGAGATGGGTGATTGACTCAATGGGTATGGTAAACCTGTTGATGAAAAAGCAAGGGATAGTATGCAGATGATTAGCATATGTAATGAGACAGGAATCCAATACAGTGGACCCTCAGGTTGCGAACGTCATCCATGTGGGAGGCACGTTCGCAAACCGCAGTGTCCGCAACCCGCAGCGCCACATCTGCGCATGTGTGAGTTGCGATTTAGCACTTCTGCGCATGCACCGAAACCCGGAAGTAACCCATTCCGGTACTTCCGGGTTCGGCACAGTGCGCAACCTGAAAACGCACAACCTGAAGCGTCTGTAACCCGAGGTATGACTGTATCTCTATTAAGATCAGGTCTCTCCATAGTTTTCAGTTTAGTGATAAGTTGTGATGCAGATGCAGAGGGTGACTGATCACAATATTCCTTGCTATAGTGAGATGATGCAGGAATTTAAGCATGTAGAAAGCTGCCTTATACCATCAAGCCAGTGATCCAAACAGCTTAGTATTTTCTACACTGACTGGCAGGGTCTCACGAGAGTTTCAGACGGAAGATGTTCTCAGTCTTACCTGGAGATGCTGAGCACTGAACTTGGGCCCTTCTGCATGCAAAGCAGGTTCTCTACCACTGAACCACAGCCCTTACATTGTATTTCGGCTTAAATTGCCGCATAGAGGCATCTACAGTCGTACCTTGGAAGTCGAACGGAATCCATTCCGGAAGTCTGTTTGACTTCCAACACATTCAGAAACCAAGGCGTGGCTTCCGATTGGCTGCAGGAAGCTCCTGCAGTCAATCGGAAGCCGGGGAAGGCCCATCGGACGTTTGGGTTCCAAAGGACGTTCGCAGACCGGAACACTCACTTCCGGGTTTGCGGCATTCAGGAGCCAAAACATCTGAGTACCAAGGTGTTCGGGATCCAAGGTACGACTGTATATGTATAAATTAGCACATGCAACTTTATTCAAATCTGCAAATTGGTCTCTCTTTTGGTGATGGGTTTTGTCTTTTTTAGTGATGTGTAAGTGGCTTCCCTAGACTGAGAGGACGTAGTGGTGGCAGCTGTGAAGAGTGCAAGGGTGTTAATGAATGAGGCAGGCAGCTGCTCATACAACCTATTCCTGTTTTTTGGTGATGAGTAATAGGCACCCTGGCTTCTCATTACATCTGGATTCAGTACCCTGGCCTGTTAAATAACCATCATTACAAAAAACCTGTATCGTAACTATGGTAGGTTAACAAGCCTGGATGTCAAACCACAGTTTGATCCAGGTTTGTTTGAACTAACGGGAGTTGCAATAATCCATACATTCCAGTGGTTTGCTCAGAAGTGAAAGCTTTCAGTCACTTCTTCTCACGGACAGAGGAGAAGATTATGAGTCAGAAGTTCTTGAAGGCTCAAGTTTGTGACAACTAGATATGGGAGAGAAATTAAATTCCGTTTGCATTTAAAGGCAAACCTACCTAGTCTGTACTCTGCAAAACAGTAAGCAAGCGAGGCACAGCCATCCTTCAAAATTCACAGTTCTCTGAATTTTACGATGCAGTTCTCCAGCCTTGGAAACCAAGTAATAGGTCAAAAAATGCATACACTGTGTATAATGATGCATATTTTAGTGAAAGGGACATACAAAAAATTGCATTGTGTTTGGGGAAATTGCTTTGCAACAATATGTGTATGGCAAAATTGCATATTAAGAGTATGCACGTTAGGAAAAATTCACACAAAAATGTTAATGAATTTTCACGAAGATGTTAAAAAGAAATTGTGAAGTGATCTGGTAACGAAGGGAACTGAACTCAAAAATGGGAGGAAACAAGAAATTGAGAAAAATTGAAACAGACCAGTTCACCCATCCCTACAAAACTATGGTTTGCTGCCACATCTGAACTGGACTAGCAGCTGAGCTGGGTTTTTATGGGATAGCTCTTTTCCTTATTTGGTGTTTTTAAGCTAGCAGCTGTTTTAACCAATGTTATTTCATTCAAAGAGAATTACTGTATTGTTTTTAATGATTCCACTAGCTGCTCTGGACCTCTTCAAAAGCAAGAGAGAAGCATATAATAATAATAATAATAATAATAATAAATTGAATGCCTGCGCTTGCTTGCTTTAGCCCACCGAAAATGGAGGCCTTCTCAGGATGTAAGATCTTCAGGGTTAGGCAGAAGCTGTAAAACGTATACCTTAGCTGTTCATGTGGCCGCTTTCTCTCCCCCTTGCTCCAAGCATTTGAAAAAATACCAACTCTGTTTTTTCCATCCCCTCCCTCATTGGGGGAGGGAAAAAATGGGGAAGAACAACCCTGATAATAAAGTTCTTATTTCCAGCACATTTGCCATTTCCTGGTCTAAGTAAAGAGTGTCATAAGAGTGACAAGCTAAAAGCCACTGATTACTGTGGATTCATGGCATTTATTCTCCCAGTGAAAAGAGCAAACATCAGAAATAATGTGGTCCAGCCTGCCTTGGAGCCTAACCCTGCAATTAATCAGCATTCATGTGAAGAAGGTGCAAAGCACATCTGATATGTATGGAGAGAGAGAGAGAGAGTAATTAAAGGCAGATGCTTTGGGGGAGGCGGGGGGGGGACTCAGAGAAGGGGAGAGCATCCTTAAAACATGCAGAGGGCTGAAATGCTCTAGAGGCAGCTGCTGATGCCAGCGCTGCCTTTGTCCCTAATATTCAGGCACACTATATAGGCATAGCAAGCTCAGATTACTGAGTGAGCATTCTCATTCGGTAAAATGGCACCAGCTACGCACAAGGGAAGAGGTACAGTATCAGCAGGCTTAGGAGGGACATTAAGGTTTCAGGAGCACAGAAAAACTTTAGGTGAATAGCGGTAAGCTAAAGGTAAAGGGACCCCTGACCATTAGGTCCAGTCATGGCCGACTCTGGGGTTGCGGCGCTCATCTCGCTTTACTGGCCGAGGGAGCTGGCGTACAGCTTCCGGGTCATGTAGCCAGCATGACTAAACCGCTTCTGGCGAACCAGAGCAGCGTACGGCAACGCCGTTTACCTTCCCGGCAGAGCGGTACCTATTTATCTACTTGTTCTTTGACGTGCTTTTGAACAGCTAGGTTGGCAGGAGCAGGGACCGAGCAACGGGAGCTCCGTCACGGGGATTCGAACCGCCAACCTTCTGATCAGCAAGTCCTAGGCTCTGTGGTTTAACCCACAGCACCAATAGCGGAGGGACCACTTAAACAGCTGAAAGAGCTGAAAAGAGAGACTCATTGTGGCATATTGCAGTGTTTCCTCAACCAGGGCCCCCAAGGATATTCCAAGGGGGCCACAGGTGAAAATCTCATAAGTGGGGGGCAATGGCATGAGACTACAGGACCACAAACCAAAAACTCAGACAAGAATGGCAATGTTTTGAAGAATATATGGATAAACACCGTTCCAAAAACAACAACAACATGCCGATATGCTTAGATTAAAGGAGTAAAGGGAAATAGAACCTAGTGATAAATCACTTTATAAAGAGAACAAAATGCAACAACCCAAAATATTGCAATGTTTGGCATCAAATTTAAAGCATACAGAAGTCATGGTGGGGTGGAGGGAAGCCATTGTGATGGGTAGTCATGGGGGTGGGTATGATTTTTGTTTTTGTAAATAGCAGTTTACTTTCTGTATGTCTATGCTGTTTCCCCCCGCTTTCTGTATTTATAAAACTCAATAAAAATTAAAAAATTAAAGAGACTAGAGGGCCAGAGAGGGAAGTGAGAAGGGGAGGAAACAGAGAAGTAACCGAGAAAAGAAAAAATGATGCAGATGTTTCTTTGCAAGAAGCGTTGAGCTACACAGCGACATAGCAGCCAAAGTAACTTTCAGTCAAGGAAAACACCATTTTTTTGATAAAGAATACAATATCAAAAAAGTTTCCTCAGCTTTGGGATAAAGCGAAATAGTTTTTCAGGGCATTTCCTACTTCGTATTTGGTAGAATCGGGTTCCAGTTTTGTGACTCATTCACTCAGCCAAACGCAGAATCGCCTTAACATAATGGACAGAGGTGGTCTTCGGTTATTCCCTCACAGGGATAGAACCAGATATATGAAAAAAGCTTGTTGCTGGTCATCAAGCACAAGGGTCACATTGATCAAGAAAAACTTAAAGTACAATTTTTTTGTGTAATTGTATTTTGTATAAATTATAAAAACGATAAAGAAAACACGTTCAATTTACAAAGAAAACTTTTAAATAGCTACCTTTCTACCAGTAGGACGGAGGTGGGGGGCACAGGAAGGAAACAAGGTCAGAAGGGGCCATGGTTGGAAAAAGGTTGAGAAACACTGGTATAGTGGTTATGGTGTCAGATTAGGATTTAGGAGACCAGGGTTCGAATCCCAACTTGGCCATGAAGCTCATTAGGTGACCTTGGGCCAGTCACTGTCTCTCAGGCTAACCTACCTCACAGGGTTGTTGTTAGGATAAAAGGGGGGAGAACTATGTATGCCCCCTTGAACTCCTTGGAGGACAAAAGGTGGGATAATGAATAGATTTATTACTACTATTAATAGTAATAATATCAAAGATTAATGTGGCACTGTGGGTTAAACCACAGAGCCTAGAACTTGCCGATCAGAAGGTCAGTGGTTCGAATCCCCACGACGGGGTGAGCTCCCGTTGCTCGGTCCCTGCTCCTGCCAACCTAGCAGTTCGAAAGCGCATCAAAGTGCAAGTAGATAAATAGGTACTGCTCCGGCGGGAAGGTAAACGGCGTTTCCGTGCGCTGCTCTGGTTTGCCAGAAGTGGCTTAGTCATGCTGGCCACATGACTCAGAAGCTGTATACAGGCTTCCTCGGCCAATAAAGCGAGATGAGCGTCGCAACCCCAGAGTCAGCCACCACTGGACCTAAGGGTCAGGGGTCCCTTTACCTTTACCTTTTAAATGTGGGGCTTAGGAACACAGGAAGCTGCCTGATGCCAAATCAGATCATTGGTCCATCAAGCTCATTATTCCCCACACAGGCAGGCAGCTTTCCAGGGTTTTATGGCAGGGAAATTTCCCACCACACCTGAAGGGGATTGAAACTGGGACCTTCTGCATGCAAGACAACTGCTCTGCCATGGGTATAACTTTTTATGCCAGCTTATCTGAACAATGTCGCAGCTGATGTGCAATGGTATTTTGCATTTGGCAATTGGCATTCGGTCAATACTTGACTCTGTTTGAGAGCTTGCAACATTTGCATTTGTTCAATAGTTGGCACGCAATGGTAATAGTATGTGACTGTCAGCAGTTTGTGAGATCTCATAGAGGGGTTTTTTTTATATAAAAAAAAAGCAAATCACATTCAAAATATTAGCTTAAATTTCAAATACGAATGGAGGAAATGGTGTGTTTTGGCAAATATGCAAAATTTGCAGAAATTCGTTTCGGGTCTAACCCCGAACAAGAAGTCGTTTTGGGTTCAAATCCGGCATGGGTGCAATTTGACCCAGTTCCTTCACTCTCTTTCCCCACTGATTAATTCTTTTCCCTGCAGATTGTTCTCAAATCAGCACCAGGTAACCTTTGCTGAAATTCCCTGCAGCACAGACAGACTTCCAGATCAGCCTATATCACAAGGAAAGGTGGAGGCGGGAAGGCCACCCTCTCATCTTACAGCAAGTCCTTTCCTCTCGCAAAGGGAAACAGGCTGTTTGTTTTGCTAAGTGAACAAGAAGATTTTCAGAGGAACGCTCTTTAATTCAGCTTTCGAATCGATTATCTGAACCTTGTCACAGCTCAGCGGTGCAGAAAGGAGATGTGAGCGAGGATGTGGTTGGGGATAAATTGCTCTCCTCATCGTCAGGCTGCCCTGCCCTATCGCTGGCTCACTCTGTCGGGCTTGGGGACAACCCCGTAGAGACCTTTAATCCACAGGGATCAGTAAATTAAGCCACTAAAGCATGAAGAGCCTGAACTGTGTTTAATCGCCCTCTTTTGTGTACTGCAGTGGCTAAATGACCGTACAAAGAGAAAAACCCACATAGGGGTCAATAAAGGATGCAGTGGGCGATTAACCCTCCTAACCTCTCTGTTGCTAGGGCAAAGGGCCTGACCAGGAGCCAAGATACTGCTGGGGAAACAGGACTAGCGGTTGCCAACAGGTGAAATGGGAAAAACTAAGAAGAGCCTTGCTGGAGGAAGCCAATGGCCAGTCTAGTCCAGTATCCTGTTTTCATAGCAGCCAAATAGGTGTGTGTTGGAAAGCCACTAGCAAGACCCAAACAGAAGAGGAGGGTAATAACAGCATGAGTCAGAGGGCAATAAGAATGATTCTAAATTTGGTTCCCTTGGTGTGGGTCCCTATGTAGTCAAAGCAGCACCATTTGTGCTCAAGGAAGAGGAGGGATCAGCAGGCTAGGGAAAACCCCAAGGTTTGCAGAACTACCCACTAAAAATAATAATAATTGGGGGAGGAGGAGACATAAGTGGGAGAAATTCTGCAAAGAAACATCTCAATAAGGACTCCCTCTGTGGTTGTCCTAGGCCCATGGAATGACCACAAGGGGAAGCAGGATGGATAATAATAATAATAATAATAATAATAATAATAATAATACCTTTATTGTCATTGTACAACCTGTGTACAGTGGTACCTCGGGTTACAGACGCTTCAGGTTATAGACGCTTCAGGTTAGAGACTCTTCTAACCCAGAAATAGTACCTCAGGTTAAGAACTTTGCTTCAGGATAAGAACAGAAATTGCGCGTGGGCAGCGCAGCAGCAGTGGGAGGCCCCATTAGCTAAAGTGGTGCTTCAGGTTAAGAACAGTTTCAGGTTAAGAACTGACCTCCAGAACGGATTAAGTTCTTAACCCAAGGTACCACTGTACAATGAAATTAAATGAGCCTCCGTCCGTCCCCCAACACTCAATCTCTTATCAAGCAACACACCACCACGTAAGTCAATTTCGCAATGTTATTTTTCATTCAACAGCCTAACAGCCCACGGATAGAAGCTATTTTTTAGCCTGTTGGTACAGCTGATTATACTTCTATATCTCCTGCCCAAGGGTAGAAGATTAAAGAGGTGATGGCCATCGTGTGAGTCATCCCTGAGAATTTTTCTCGCTCTCCTAAGGCAACGATCCCTTGCGATGTCATCTAGCAGACTCAAGGGACAGCCCATGATATCATGTGCTGTATTCACCACGCTCTGTAAAGACTTTCTGTCCATGGCTGTCAGGCCAGCATACCACACTGTGATACACTTTCTATTGTGGACCGGTAGAAGGAGTTCATCAGTTGTTGTTTAACATTATTCTTTCTCCAGACCCTGAGGAAATGGAGTCTCTGTTGGGCCTTTCTGACCCCCTGAGTTATATTGATTTTCCAAGTGAGGCGCTCACTAAGGTAAACTCCCAGAAATTTAAAGGAGTTTACCTTAGTGAGGACCTCACTTGGGAAATCAGTGAGGAATATCCCAGGAAAGGGTGTGGCTGACTGGAAGAAGAAGAAGAAAAAGAGTTTGGATTTGATATCCTGCTTTATCACTACCCGAAGGAGTCTCAAAGCGACTAACAATCTCCTTTCCCTTCCTCCCCCACAACAAACACTCTGTGAGGTGAGTGGGGCTGAGAGACTTCAGAGAAGTGTGACTGGCCCAAGGTCACCCAGCAGCTGCAAGTGGAGGAGCGGAGACGCGAACCCGGTTCACCAGATTTTGAGTCTACCGCTCTTAACTACTGCACCACGCTGGAACTCTGAGCAACAGCACTTTGCACAGTAATATTTCATTGCAACTGCCACTCATTTATTCCACCCTCATCAATAATCTTACGTCCCTTTGGATATTACATCTATCTCGTTTTTTCCACTGTTCAGCTCAGTGGTAATGCATCTCCTTTGCTTGCAGGGGGTCCCTAGCACAATCCTCAGCATCTCTGGGTTAGGCTGGGAGAGACTCCCTGCCTAAAACCCTGGAGAGCTTCTGCCAGTCAGGGCAGGCAACACTGAACTGGATTGACTGGTGTGACTGAGTACAAGGCAGCTTCCTATCTTCCTATGTCTTCAGGGAAGCACCATCCTCAATCAGGGATGGTGGATCTAGCTTGCTTGTAGGTGATCCCCGGTGCAATCTCTGATATCTGCAGGAAAGGATGGGTGAAAGCCTTGTCTGATAACCCAGGAGAGCTGCTGCCAGTCAGTGTGGATGACGTTGAGCAAGACAGATTCAACAACAACAATCTTTATTATGGTCCAGAGACCCAACAAATCGTTACAAAGCAATACACAATTCATACAGCCTACCTCCAGGTTAAACAAGCATTTTGTTCAGAATATAGGGATCATTGGTTCTTGCAACCACCAATAAGAACTTTGCCCCTGCTAATGTTCTAGCATTTGTCTGGTCTTCCAAAAGGAGCTTGACATAGTGAGCCTCTGATTTTCCTGGGAAAGGTACCAGCAAGGGTAGTATCAGTTCAGCCCTGGCTTGCTCATATTTTGCACAGTGCAACAAAATAGGTTTTATGGAATCGATGCAAGACAGATTCCTATGTTCCTTCGTGTGGCCCTGCAAGTGAATACCACTACGTGAGCAGCAAGCACTTCCATGTACAACCCACCATTGAAAGGCTTCTGTTTTTCCTTTATTTAAGGCAGTTTACTTCTCCATATTCTTGCCATCCACTGGCTTTGTCTGCCTTTCTGATGAAAAACGGATGCAAATGTTAAGCCAGAGGGTGGGGAAACATCAAGTCTAAAGCATTGCTTTTAGCCTCTACTGCTAAGCAAGAGCTGCCACCTTCTGATGGCTGTCTGCAATATAAGTTAGCAGAAGAGTGAACTGATCTGTTTTCCTAGGGTTTGGCATCTACAGTCCGTAAGCAATTGCAATCTGCCTCCTTATTAGCAGACCGATCATGAAATCAACCTTCTTTTGTGGAGAATCGTTCTGCCATCATCATCATCTTCATCATCATCATCATCATCATCACCCCTTGCCTGTCTCTATCCCAGCACTAAGAAAGTCATCCCCCCACATGGTGAGGCAAAGAAAAGGAAATTGATGTTATGGAAGCTCAGTGCTCAATGGAGAACACGTTCACAGCTGTGCGAGAAGGGAAACACTTCAACAAAAGAAAGCTTACCGGTCACAACATCTAAGGATTGGGGAGAGATTCAATGCAGTTCACATTTAAAGGCGAATCTACCAAATTAGCTGTTTCCGAAACACTACACAAATTGAAATGCAGCCGTCTTTCGAAATCTTCACTACTCTGAATTTTGCAATGCACTTCTCCAGTAATGTGTGCAAAAATGCATAAAATGGGGTAAAATGCGCAGGAAAATTGGAATGTTCATGAAAATAGCATGCAAAAAAGTGTTGCATTTGAGGAAATGGCTTTGCAAAAATGTGCATAAT